AAATTACCGGCACGGTGGCGATGCCTGTAGTCCGCAGCTACGCCGGAGGCTGAGGCAGAAGGATTCACTCGAGCCAGGAGTTTGAGTTGCTGTGAGCTAGGCTGACCCCCACGGCACTCACTCTAGCCTGGACACAAGCGAGACTCTGTCTCAAAAAATAGATAAAAATAAAAAATAAAAAAAAACAGCCTGAGCAAGAGCCAGACCCATCTCTACTATAATAAGAAAAATTAATTGCCAACTAATATATACGGAAAATTAGCCTGGTAATGGGGCAGGTGCAGCCTTAGTCCAGCTACTGGAGGCTGAGGCAGTAGGATGCTTGAGCCAGGAGTTTGATTTGCTGTGAGCTAGGCTGTTACGCACTCACTCTAGCCTGCAACAACAGCGAGACTCTATCTCAAAAAACAATGACAAAAAACAGAACTTAACGCCCATAAGCCTGGGCTTTGTGACATCCATTTAGTCTGCCACTGTCCTTCATATTAAAATTGACATAACATGACATACAATAAATATCAATCAGAGGGTCAGTGCCTGTGGGAGGACTTAGCAAATAAAATTTCAACACAGAAATTAGTAAAAAAAACCAAAACACAACCTGTCATCTAAATCCAGTCACCTATAATCTTACCACTTGTATTAACTATTGTGGGTAATCTTCTGTTTTTAATCTATATAAATAGAATAGATTTTGAACAAAGTAGAATCATTCTGTATATTTGTTGCTCTTTCACTCAGTGATGCATGGAATGTTCTCGTAGATAATAATGTTATATAGTATTATTTTAAGGACAATATACTAGTTCATTTCATACTCTAATGTCATTTATTATTCTAGGCTATTTCTATCTTTTGTCATTAGCTAATAAAAATATACATTAACTACTAGTGCAGCTTCCTAATTGAGGAGGCATATGTCGTCATTTGCAAGTACACCCTGTGTCCGTGCTCTCCCATCCTAGCCCTGCCTTTTCAGTGCCACTCTGTCTGATGTCTTTGTTCCCAGACAATTCTTCCCATGCTTGTCTGCTGTGCCCCAGTCGTCGTCTTCTGAGCTCAATGAGCCAGATTGACTCAGGGGAATGTCGTGAACAGTTTTCCAGCTGGCTTGAAGTGAATGTCGCATAACACGGATTGCTCAGAAAAGCAGGGCTATGACTGATGCCTTGCCACATCAGAGAACAAGCCCTTGTGCTCTGGGTTCTCCTTTGCTTGAGCTGCACTGTCCAATACATAGCCTCTAGCCATACGTGACCATTTAATTATAAATTATTTATTTTTGAGACAGAGTCTCACTTTGTTCCAGGCTAGAGTGAGTGCCGTGGCGTCAGCCTAGCTCACAGCAACCTCAAACTCCTGGGCTCAAGCAATCCTTCTGCCTCCAGCCCCCGAGTAGCTGGGACTACAGGCATGCGCCACCATCCCGGCTCATTTTTCTATATATAAATTCGTGGCAATTAATTTCTTTCCTATTTATAGAAGATGGGTCTCGCTCTTGCCCAGGCTGGTTTCGAACTCCTGACCTTACAAGTCGGCCCGCCTCAGCCTCCCAGAGTGCTAGGATTACAGGTGGAGCTGCCACGCCCGCCTGACTAATTAATTAATATAAAAAGTAAGTTTATTTATTAAATAAAAATATAGTTCCTCAGTCTCACTGCCACATTTCAAGGCCATAGCCATATGTGGCCTTGGCTACCGTAATGAACTGTGCAGAGCATTTCCATCAGTGCAGGAAGTTCTCTTGGACAGCACTAGCATAAGCAATCCCACACCAGTTCAGGTCCTCAAACTACGACCCGCGACCACATGCGGCCTGCCGAGGACATTATCCGGCCACCCGGTGTTTTGCCGCCACTGCCTGTCCTGCTTAGCACGACTCATCCCAGGCCATAGTGCGCATGTGAATGAGCTGCACTCTCCAACGGCCCTCCAACGGTCTGCGGGACATGCACTGGCCCCCTGTTTAAAATGAAGAAGCCGGCCGCGGTGCCTCACGCCTGTAAGCCTAGCACTCTGGGAGGCCGAGGCGGTGGATTGCTCAAGCTCCAGAGTTTGAAACCAGCCTGAGCAAGACGAGACCGTCTCTACTAAAATGAAAATTAATTGGCCAACTAATATATGTAGACAAATTAACTGGCATGTGCACATGCCTGTAGTCCAGCTACTCAGAGCTAGGCAGAAGGATCTGCTTGACCCAGAAGTTTGAGGTTGCTGTGAGCTAGGCTGATGCCACGGCACTCACTACGCCTGGCAACAAAAGATCTGTCTCAAAAATAAAAATAAAAATAAAAAAAAATAAAAAGTTTAGGATCTCTGCATTGTGCATTGCTTGCTCACGATGCCCGTGCAGGTGCAATCAATAATATACTTTTATGTTAATTTAGTTAAGAAAATGCAATTTTTTTTGTGCCATTACTTTATGCATAAGGCCCTTTCCTTGATTATCCTATAAGCTGGCTATTTTGCTCATTTAAAGATGAGGTTCTTGCGGCGGTGGTGCTCACCCTGTATCTACCACTCTGGGAGGCCGAGGCAGCGGATTGCTCAAGGTCAGGATTCAAAACCACCTGAGCGAGACCCTCCTCTACCATAAAAATAAAAGAAATTAATTGGCCAACTAATATATATATATATACAAAATCAGCCGGCATGGTGCTTGTGCCCTGTAGTCCCAGCTACTCGGGAGCTGAGGCACGGGATCGCTTGAGCCCAGAAGTTTGAGGTTGCTGAGCTAGCTGACGCCACGGCACTCACTCTAGCCTAGGCAAGAAAGCGAGACTCTGTCTCAAAAAAAAAAAAAATGAGTTCTTGAGACCAAAATGATGAAGTAACTATCCTTGCTAAATGGCTAGTATATAAGGACACAGGCCCTTGCTCCAGTCTTTGGATCCAAGTGCCCGCTGGTTTCACCACTGCTGTGACCACCAGGCATTTTTTTTTTTTTTTAGCCATGCAATCAGCCTAGCTCACAGCAACTTCAGTCTCCTGGGCTCAGCCACACCTGATGCTGCCTCCAGCCTCCTGAGTAGCTGGGACTACAGTGCGCCACCATTGCCTGGCTAATTTTTGAAATATAGTTTTAGTTGGTCAATTAATTTCTTTCTATTTTTAGTAGAGAGGGGTCTCACTCTGTCAGCCTGGTTTTCGAAACTCCTGACCTGAGCATCCGCCGCCTCGGTCCCAGAGTGCTAGGATTACAGGCGTGAGCCACACCACGCGCCTGAACCACGGGCATTTTATTGCCTTCAATGGTGAAGGCATTTGACCGCAGAAATAAGTTCCCTTCTAATCTACTCGTGACGAAGTTTCAGAATTGTAAAAATGAAAGTATTTATTGTCGTAGGAACTGGTGTTCTATGAAATTTATGCTTCTGGATTCTATTTCTAGCTGAGCAATTTCGGACCCTGCTTTTCACTTCTGAAGGGAAAAGAGAAAAGAATTGACCAACTTCCGCCCCCTTCCAGCCCTGATGAATCGCAGCCGTCCCTCATTCTTTCGCGCACAGATGATGGCTGAAATACAAACGAAACCAAGCCTAGCAACCAGCCAAGCGATCTCCCTAAAACATTCATACTCTACGTATGTTGCTTTATAATATAGCTTTTATTAAAAATTTAACAGACTATTCTAAATCCTGCATTCAGTATATTTACTAAGTGCATTTCTTGGTATCGATGCTTCCAGCCAGTCTTTGCAAGAAGCTATTTTAACAAATAAATCTTACTTTGGTTGAAATGAATGTTATCCACTGAAGTACTAGCAAGAGACACAAGTTCTTTATTGCAGCCTGTTGTAATTTAATGTCTTTTCATGTTCTGACTATTTTGAGCTATCTTCTTTATGTTATATCAATAGCAGTTCTATAGGTTAAAAAAAAAAAAAAAAGAAATTACCAGGAAGAGGCTGGACATGTGGCTCACACTTATATTCCCAGCACTTTGGAATGCCAAGCCGGAAGGGTTGCTTGAGGCCAGGAGTTCAAGGCCAGCCTGGGCAACATAGCAAGACCTCATCTCTATAAAAAATTTAAAAATAATATAAAAAAAGAAGGAAATTACCAGGAAGAATCCAGTGATTCTTATAAATGCAAAATAGCTCTCTCAGGGGTGTATTTGATCATTCTCAGCTTAAACATGTAAAAATGATAACATCTGTCATCTCAAATAATATAGCTGAAATGAACCTTGAGATTCTGAAACTGATTCTTCCAGAATTCTAAGGTAGACTCAAATGATAGCCTAAGGTAATAATGCAGGGCCACAGGTCGGATTAACCCAAGTGCGAGATGGTGGGAGCCTGAATAAAGGCTGTGGCAATAGAAATAGAGAGAAAGAGTAAGATATATTAGGTAGGATCCCCTGCAGGAGAGGAGAAGGCAAAGTTAACCATGACCTTTAAGTGTCTCACTTGGAATGCTGGGTGATAACGCATTCATGAATGATGGATGAGGAATCATTTGTGGGGAAATATAGGGAGATCTTAAGGAAATAGATTTCTGCTTACAACATTTTCTCTGGTTTTAAATGTTATGTTAAAAATAAAAGCACATTTTAAGTGATTATTCTTCAAAGAAGAAATTTATCTTTAACTCCTGCATAATTTCCATAGGGAGAATCTATTTATCTCAGTATAAATATATTCTCTCCTTCAGATGCAAATAATTTTGGATGTTAGTATTTTATGCAAATCAAGAAGGGAATGGACAAACATTGATCCCTCACTGAAATGCTACTCACTTTGTTGTATGCATTTTCTTTTATTTTCCTCGCAAGTAAAACCCTCTATTCCAAAGAAATATTAATTGCTGCTCTTGCATAAATTTCTTCCTGTTCTTTATTTATATCTCATTTGGCACCAGATTGTCCTATGCTTTTCTCAGTGGCTTTATTTTGAGTGAGGAAATGTGTTTAAATATCATAGGATGAATAAAGCTGTCATTCTGTTTTGGCACAATCCCACATGGTCATGTGTTAACCCTCTGTTAATGGTGTTTCAGCTGCACTTGGTGCATTGGAATGCAGTCAAATTTGAAACCTTTGAGGATGCAGCACTGGAAGAAAATGGTTTGGCTGTGATAGGAGTATTTTTAAAGGTACAAACAAATCTCACCAACTTTAAATGATGTGTTGTGTACGTTACAATATTATTTACTTTAAGAATGTTTGGATCAATAGGATCAGTATATTGATAAGATGGACAATGATTGAAATACAAGATTATTGGGAATATATTTTAAATGGTATAAAAATGCACAGTCTAATACTGTAGTCACAAGCCGCATGTGACAATTGAGCATTTGAAATGTGGCTACTGCAATGGAGGAACCATTTTTAATTTTATTTAAATTTTAATTAATTTTAATTTCAATTTAAGAACTGATGCTTAAATGGAGCAGGAACACCTTTCCCTGCAGGCATGCTGACCTTGTCGGCCAATAGCCTACTCATTTGTTCTCTAATTTAATTCAGTGATGTTTATAAAATTCCAAATTACCACTTTAAGTGTAGTTTCACTCTCGTGGTTTGTTTTTATGTAACCACCAGGTGGTTAATTTCAATTCATATTCTGTTACAGTTTCTACAGTGAGATGTCCACTGTTTATAATATGTTCTCATTGATTGCTCTTTAGCTAGGCAAACATCATAAAGAGCTACAGAAATTGGTGAATACTCTGCCATCAATTAAGCACAAGGTAATATATTTGTTTTTCCTAAATCACTTGAAATATATTTTATGCTTCAATCTCAGAATGGAGACATTACCAAGGCACTTTGAATCAGGAGGTGTAATTAGGTGAAATGTATTCAGGTTCTCTTTGAAACGTTGCCTTAGAAAGAAAGAAAGTTGTCATTTACAATGCTTGTGTTAAGAGAACCCCCACAGCCGGGTACACTGGCATATGCCTGTAGTCCCAGCTATTCTAGAGGCTGAGGCAGGAGGATTGTATAAGCCCAGGAGTTGGAGTCCAGCCTGAGCAACAGAGTGAGACCCTCGTCTCTTAAAAAAAAACCAAAAAACTCTGGGTCACATTGCAGGGGAGAGAAACGATTGCATTGGTGGACACTGAGCTTTCTGGTTTTGCTGCCATGCTGCCGAGGACTCAAGGACTCAGGAACATCCTGCTGTCCCCTCCTCTCTTCCCAACGCTGGCTCCTTCTAGGTCCTGTGAACACACTCAGAGCAGCCTTCTTTTCTCTAGCTACCCTCTGCAAGGAGCAGAAAAAAAGATTTACAGAAACTTGACTTGTCCAACAGTAAAGAGCAATGACCCATATCTTTCAGCTTGGACACCTTTTTCCTGCCCCCAAGAGTCATTCTTCAATGTTTCGAATCCCCAAGGGGCTGCTCCCTGGAGATCCATGTATTTATTCTCCCCTCACCCCCACTCTATTTACCTCTGTCCCCACCTCTTTCCCACTCCTCGCCTTCCTGTTTCCCTCTCTCCTCTTGTAGTCCAGGATTCTGGCTCCTCCTGATTTGTGTTTCATTTTCAAATAACAGTTGTCTGTCAGTCTATCTTGAGAAAGGGAAGCCTCCTTCTTTGTGTGCCAGCTACTATCTAACACCTCCCAACAGTGCCAGAGACGACCACCTGCTATAAACTCACTAGAATTGAAGGAGAAAATAGTTTTGGCTGTTTGCCCACTGAGGAGCATCAAAAATACACAGTTAATTGCAGAAACAAAGACTCACAGGCTTCTGTCCTAAGCAGTGATGCTTCAGGCAGCTGCCCAGAGGTACCTGAAGCTCCCCTGGGACACTGCTGTCCCCAGATACCCCCTGAGAAGCATCACCTCGTCATTGGATTCCAGAATGGTTTTCACCACTAAATAATGATTCAGTGACCCCTTCTCTTGGCTAGGACACCCTTGTGGAATTTGAGTCGTTTGATCCTTCCTGTCTGATGCCCACCTGCCCGGATTACTGGACCTACTCGGGCTCTCTGACTACCCCGCCCCTCGCCGAGTCCGTCACCTGGATCATTAAGAAGCAGCCAGTAGAGGTTGATCATGATCAGGTAGGTTCTTTCCACTTTCCATCTGAGGAAATCTAGTCTGCCCATTTAAAACAAGGCTGGGCTCCAACTGTGGCGTCAGTTTTAACATCTTGTAATGCCTATACCTTTTTATTGAAGAGTGCTAATGTCTGTCTCAGTTTGGACATGAATTTGGGGATGTTTCACATTAACTAGAGAGAAGAGGCCGGGCGCAGTGGCTCATGCCTGTAATCCTAGCACTCTGGGAGGCCGAGGCGGGTGGATTGCTTAAGATCAGGAGTTCAAGACGCCTGAGCAAGAGCGAGACCCCATCTCTACTATAAATAGAAAGAAATTAATTGGCCAACTAATATATAGGAAAAATTAGCTGGGTATGGGGGCGACCACCTGTAGTCCCAGCTACTCGGGAGGCTGAGGCAGGAGGATTGCTTGAGCCCAGGAGTTTGAGGTTGCTGTGAGCTAGGCTGATGCCACGGCACTCACTCTAGCCTGGGCAACAAAGTGAGACTCTATCTCAAAAAACAATGACAAAAATACAGAGCTTAACTGCCCATAAGCCTGGGCTTTGTGATCTATACATTTAGTCTGCCACTGTCCTTCATATTAAAAAATTGACATAACAATGAAACATAAATAAATAAATCAATCAGAGGGTCAGTGGCCTGTGGGAGGACTTAGCAAATAAAATTTCAACACAGAAAATTTAGTAAAAAAAAACCAAAAACACAACCTGTCATCTAAAATCCCAGTCACCTATAATCTTACCACTTGGTATTAATCATTGTGTGGGTAAATCCTTCTGTTTTTTAATCTATATAAATATGCATAATTTTGTAACAAAGTAGAATCATTCTGTATATTTTGTTGCTCTTTTCACTCAGTGATGCATGGAATGTTCTGTAGATAATGTTATATTCAGTATTATTTTTAAGGACAATATACTAGTTCATTTCATAGCTCTAATGTCATTTATTATTGGTCTAGGGCTATTTCTAATCTTTTGTCATTAGCTGAATAAAAATATACATTAACTACTAGTGCAGCTTCCTAATTGAGGAGGGCATATGTGTCATTTGCAAGTACAGCCCTGTGTCCCGTGCTTGCCTCCCATCCTAGCCCTGCCTTTTCAGCGCCACTCTGTCTGATGTCTTTGTTCCAGACAATTCTTCCCATGCTTGTCTGCTGTGCCCCAGGTCGTCGTCTTCTGAGCTCCAGTGAGCCAGATTGACTCAGGGGAAATGTCGTGAACAGTTTTCCAGCTGGCTTGAAGTGAAATGTCGCATAACACGGTTGCTCAGAAAGCCAAGGGGCTATGACTGATGCTCTTGCCACATCAGAGAACAAGCCCTTGGTGCTCTGGGTTGCTCCTTTTGCATTGAGCTGCACTGTCCAATACGTTAGCCTCTAGCCATACGTGACCATTTAAATTATTATTATTATTTATTTTTTTGAGACAGAGTCTCACTTTGTTGCCCAGGCTAGAGTGAGTGCCATGGCGTCAGCCTAGCTCACAGCAACCTCAATCTCCTGGCCTCAAGCAATCCTTCTGTCTCAGCCTCCCGAGTAGCTGGGACTACAGGCATGCGCCACCATGCCCGGCTCATTTTTTCTATATATATTCGTTGGCCAATTAATTTCTTTCTATTTATAGTAGAGATGGGTCTTGCCTCTTGCTCAGGCGGGTTTTCGAACTCCTGACCTCGAGCAGTCTGCCCGCCTCAGCCTCCCAGAGTGCTAGGATTACAGGCGTGAGCCGCCACGCCCGGCCTGACTAATTAAATTAAATATAAGTAAATTTAAGTTTAATTAAATTAAAAATATAGTTCCTCAGTCTCACTGCCACATTTCAAGTGCCCAGTAGCCATATGTGGCCTATGGCTACCGTAATGAACTGTGCAGAGGACATTTCCATCAGTGCAGGAAGTTCTCTTGGACAGCACCAGCATGAAGCATCCCACCACCAGTTCAGGGGTCCTCAAACTACGACCCGCGGACCACATGCGGCCTGCCGAGGACATTTATCCGGCCCACCGGGTGTTTTTGCCGCCACTGCCTGTCCTGCTTAGTAGCCGACTCATCCCAGGCCCATAGTGCGCATGTGTGGAATGAAGGCTGCACTCTCCAACGGCCCTCCAAGGGTCTGCGGGACAGTGAACTGGCCCCCTGTTTAAAAAGTTTGAAGAAGCCGGGCGCGGTGGCTCACGCCTGTAATCCTAGCACTCTGGGAGGCCGAGGCAGGTGGATTGCTCAAGCTCAGGAGTTTGAAACCAGCCTGAGCAAGAGCGAGACCCGTCTCTACTAAAAATAGAAAAGAAATTAATGGGCCAACTAAATATGTAGAAAAAATTAATGGCATGGTGGCACATGCCTGTAGTCCCAGTACTCAGGAGCTGAGGCAGGAGATCGCTTGAGCCCAGGGAGATTGAGTGCTGTGGAGCTAGGCTTATGCACTGCATCACTCTAGCCTGGGCAACAAAGTGAGACTCTGTCTCAAAAAATAAAAAATAAAAATAAAAAAAAATAAAAAGTTTGAGGATCCCTGCATGTGCATTGCTTTGCTCACGATGCCCAGGCATGGTGAGCAATCAATAATATACTTTTTATGTTAATAATTTAGTTAAAGAAAAATGCACATTTTTTTTGTGCCATTACTTTATGCATAAGGCCTTTCCTTGATTATCCTATAAGCTGGCTATTTTGCTCATTTAAAGATGAGGTTCTTGGCCGGGCGTGGTGGCTCACGCCTGTAATCCTAGCACTCTGGGAGGCCGAGGCAGGCGGATTGCTCAAGGTCAGGAGTTCAAAACCAGCCTGAGCGAGACCCCGTCTCTACCATAAAAATAGAAAGAAATTAATTGGCCAACTAATATATATATATATAT